AAATAACCAGTATATTACTACTATTTATTTTTTCAACCAGAATATTATTTGTAAAGCCACAGAAAATAATTTCTGTAAGAAAAAGAAAACAAATGAAACAAATGAAAAATTCTGTTTAAACAGAATAATTCGAATCTATCTTAAGATTATTGGAACAATCTTCTATATAAAATAAATAACTTAAAACTAAATCAAACAAATAAAAATAAATTATTAACAGAATTTATTTACCGAAATGAAAAAAAAAAAAAATAGATCAAGTCAAGTGTGTGACACTCGGTCCTTAAGACAGATTCGCTCCGCTTCGTTGCTAACGAATAAATGGCGTCTATCTCCTAAGATACAATGATCTACACAAATTGTAGTAGTTCTCCAAACAATTTGTACAGTAAACAAAAGCCTATGTTCTATATTCTTCAAATTTTTCCTAAAATAATATGAAGAATAAATTGATGCAAGAGATCAAAAACTAGAAGGAAACAAGTGAGTTTCAGATTTGGAAATCTGCTGGAATGATCCAGGTATTTATAGGGCCGAATAGATAGGAATTTCAAACCGAACAGATGTAGTTTGAACTGAACAGGTAAGGTTTGAATTGAACAGATCTGTTGAAGAATAGAACAGGTGCGAATTGTTTCAACTACTGGAATTCAATCTGTCCGGTTCAACTTGTTTGAACCTGCTAGAAAATGGACTGAAAAAGGGCACTGTTTGGATAGAAATTTTTGGTACAAAATTTAAATTAATTTTGTTTAGTAATTTAAATAAATTTTGTCCAAAAAATTAATGTTAGAACCAATCCGGCCCACACCCATGCTCGGCACGGCTCGGCCGACGACACACGTGTGCGTGTGGTGGTTTGAGCTAAGGCTCCCTTTGTCTATAACTTTTTTCTTCTACAAACTTAGGGTGCCCCTTAGGGTCCAACCCAAGTGTGGCCACTTAGAACTTATATAAATATACAAGCTCTCTTTAAGTTTCAATGTGAGACAACTCATTTCAAGGTGACCCACATTTTATCTTTAATAGTCCATTCCACGAATTAGAAAACGACTTCAACTTTTCATTCACTCATAAATGGTTTTGACGTATCGTCTTCACTGTGTGACTCGCCACGCAACAAGGAAAACATCACCTCTTTGGATTTATCCCAAAAGACGTATTGGGACCATTCAAATTTGAACTCAAAATTGGTACAAAATAAGCTTATAAAATCATAAATTCCAACGGTTGGTGGTGTGTGTGGTATTGTCCAAAAGAGTAATATACTTAGACGAATATAATTGGAATAAAAAAAAATGATAAATAATGTGTACTAAAAAATATAATGGTGTGTAAATAGAATTTTCCGTTTAAAAATCATTTGACAATATTTAGCTCTAACTCTACTTCACTCGTTTGGCAACATTTAAAGGTTAGATTTTTAGACAATTTTGTTAAATTATTCACTTAATTTTTTTAAACAAGTCATAAAATTATTTAGCATGACTTCATGAAAAAAATGACTAAGGCCTCGTTTGGGAACCATCTTTTTTAGCCAAAAAAGTTACTAAATTAGCTAAAAAGCCAACAACCCATACCAAAAAGTTAAAGATTCTCTTTTCTCTCTACTTTTTGCACATCTTTTCGTAAAAATCCAAAAAGTCATTCCAAACATACTAGTTTTTTTTAGCTCATATTTTAGCCAAATAACCAAAAAGTTACTAAACTAGCCTGTTCCCAAACGAGGCCTAAGTAGAAAATAGTTTACGAATATAACGAGATGTACATCAAACACTCAACCATGAAACAAAATTCATAATAGATTATTTAAAATTTTTATGGTACAGACTACAATATTTATAATGTTTGGGTATGTTCTATTAAAATATTAGTTATAACTTAATTATATATATTGTAGTAGTAGTTATGAGTGGGACCAAATCAGTGAACCAAAAATGACAGTTTGTAAATCAATGAAAGGGCACTCTTGTCCACAGAGTGAAACAAAAATGAAAAAAAAAAACAAAAAGGACCAAATCAACACACCAGCAGGACTATTTGGTATAATAGAATAAAAGTGGGACTATTTGATATAACAGTTTGTGAAGTAGGATTTATTGGTAAATATGCCTAAATTATTTAACATGACTTCTTGAAAAAAATGACTAAGTAGAAAAATAGTTTACGAATATAATGAGATGTACATCAAACACTCAACCATGAAACAAAATTCATAATAAATTATTTAAAATTTTTATGGTACAGACCGCAATATTTATAATGTTTGGTTATGTTCTATTAAAATATTAGTTATCACTTAATTATACATATTGTAGTAGTAGTTATGATTTATTGTAATATTAATTATGGTATTATTTTAATTATAATTTATGCGGTGTTTAGTTGATAATAACTTCTTTTTTTTTTTAAATTATGATTTGTATAAAAGTTGACATTACTAGATTACTACAAACATATAATAAATTTATGAGGTACACATGCAACAATCATACAACAAGAATTACCTATACAAGTGATAAAAAGACTCAAATCAAACTCTTTAAGATTTAAGGTTCTTGTTTAACAACTTAATCCCATGAATTAGATTTATGCTCAAAGATGTATATTTAAAATTGAACCGAGCTTTTATTCAGTCCAAAAGGGATTGTTTGGAATAAACTAAATAAGTGTACTTTTTGACTTTTTATGAAATATGAGTTGAATATGAGTTGGATTCGAAGTGATATAGTAGAGAGGTGATGTGACTTAAATAAGATGATGTGACTTAAATAGAATAGTAATTTTTTGACTTTTTTTGACATTACTAGATTACTACAAACATATAATAAATTTATGAGGTACACATGCAACAATCATACAACAAGAATTACCTATACAAGTGATAAAAAGACTCAAATCAAACTCTTTAAGATTTAAGGTTCTTGTTTAACAACTTAATCCAATGGATTAGATTTATCCTCAAAGGTGTATATTTAAAATTGAACCGAGCTTTTATTCAATCCAAAAGAGATTGTTTGGGATAAACTAAATAAGTGTATTTTTTAATTTTTTTAAGTTATGCCAAACGAAACCTTAGGTTATAATGTTTTTTCGAGACTCGTAGTGCACATGGTATGTTTATGTTAGAGTCTTATGTGTATATCATTAATAAAAAAATAATAATATTAATTTAATAATTGTAATATTTTTATTTTATTTTATTGTGTTTGACTCAAAAAAATAAATAGTCACATCACCTTATTTGGTTTCAATTTTCTGGATCCATTTTTCAGAAAATTGGAGTTTTTTTTTATTTTCAGTATTTTTTTATTTTCATTGAATATTTTCAATATTTTAAGCAATTTTTTTAATTTTTTTTATAGTTACACCGAATATAAATACACTTAAAAAGTATAATATTTGTGAAAAAATCTTTAAAAAATTTACTAAATAACAAAAATATAAACAAATACGAAAACTTAGTACATTTTGGTATTCTTGTATATTTATTGATTTTTTTACAAGTATTTTATTTTTTAGATACATTTGAGTAAGATAAATCTAAAAAGTAAAAAAAAAAAATGTTTAAAATTTTAAAAATATTCACTAAAAAAATACAAAAAATAAAAAACATAATTTTCAAAAAATTGAAACAAACTTACAATATAAACGACCTTTGGTATATGAGAAAAATTATATCAATCAGATACTTAAAATATCTCCAAAGGCCTTTTTATATCAGTCATGTTAGCTATTATAGTTAGTATCATCATATTTTATTTACTCTAACAGGTTAGTTATTACAATAGCTATTTTAACAAAATCTTTAAGTTACATTTGAAGAGTCTTGGGAGACTTCTAAAATAATTTTTGTATATCAATAGATAAAATAAAGAGTAATATTGAAATACATAGATAAAAATAAAAATTAGATAAAATAAAAAATATGCCTTATATATTTTAGTTAATGAAAAATAAAAAATATGATTAAAGATGTTTTTATAATAGAAAAAAATATATATTATAAAACAAAAAAAAAAAACTCAAACTTCTGTTTATCCTACTATAAAATGACACTACAAAATGATGCGGCAAAATTAATATTAATCATTTTAGTTAAAAAATAAAAAAATATTATAAATTACCACATTATTTTATTTATTTTTTGCACTTCTTTTTATAAAAAATTAAAAAATTATTAAAATAATCTATTCTTAAATGAAACCTTCGTTTGGAAAGTTAGCTTTTAAATTTTTTGGACTCTTTTAATTTGGTTAAAAAACTTATATTTAGAAAAATTACAACTAATTTGATAATTATAAAAACAAAATAAAATAAAATAATTACAATTTAAATATACTATTTTACCGTATTAATTATTTTATCCTTAACTTTCTCCCCCAAACAAGTCCTAAATAAATATGATTCATTAATATAATTTTGTGAATAATTTTTCATGGCATTGTTAGAACCAAATGTAGAACAAGTCTCATATCGGTTACCTTATATATCAGTCAAATTATAACGCGTTGAACTTGGACCCGGCCGCCGCTGGAACACAGCTCTCTTAAATATACTATTTTACCGTATTAATTATTTTATCCTTAACTTTCTCCCCCAAACAAGTCCTAAATAAATATGATTCATTAATATAATTTTGTGAATAATTTTTCATGGCATTGTTAGAACCAAATGTGGAACAAGTCTCATATCGGTTACCTTATATATCAGTCAAATTATAACGCGTTGAACTTGGACTCGGCCGCCGCTGGAACACAGCTCTCTTTTTCTCTCTCTCAAACTTTTTCCACGTCGACACCTACTATAATAAATAAAATACAGTCTTCTATCTCTCTCTCTCTCTCTCTCTCTTACACACACCTGTTATTCATTGCATCAAATCCCCTCTTTCGAAGCAACATCTTCACTCCATTCACACACCCACCTCCTCATTTTTATATAAAAATTCACCTCACAACTCTTTCTCACCACAAACCCCAACAATCATCACCTCACAACTCTCTCTCTCTCTCTCAGATCTGAAACAGAGGCAGTTGTGGATTCATATACTCAATACTTGCATAAATATAATCATGTCCGGAGACGACTTTGATCTGAAACCCAAACCCAAACCGGTGGTGGTCCGAGAAGTCTGGTCGAGCAATCTCGAGTCCGAGTTCGATCTGATCCGAGACCTAATCGATCGATACCCTTACATATCCATGGACACGGAATTCCCAGGCGTGGTGTTCAGACCCACCACCGCGAACGACAACCGCATGCGGCGGCTCCTCCCGTCGGACCACTACAAGCTCTTGAAATCAAACGTCGACGCTTTGAATCTCATCCAGCTCGGTCTCACTCTCACCGACGCAGCCGGAAACCTCCCGGACCTCGGCTCCGGCGAGAGCGGCTTCATTTGGGAGTTCAATTTCCGTGACTTCGACGTCGCGCGTGACCCCCACGCGCCGGACTCCGTCGAGCTCCTCCGTAGCCAGGGCATCGATTTCGACCGGAACCAGTCCGATGGAATCGACTCGGCCCAGTTCGCCGAGTTGATGATGTCTTCGGCTCTCGTGTGCAATGACTCAGTGAGTTGGGTGACGTTTCACAGCGCGTATGACTTTGGATACCTCGTCAAGATCCTCACGCGCCGCCAGTTGCCGAGTGGACTCGAGGACTTTTTGGGAATTTTAAAAATATTTTTTGGAGACAACGTTTACGATGTGAAGCATTTGATGAGATTTTGTCACAGCTTGTACGGTGGGTTGGACCGGGTTGCGAGAACGCTAGAGGTGGAACGGGCGGTCGGGAAATGCCACCAGGCCGGTTCGGATAGTTTGTTGACGTGGCATGCGTTTCAGAAGATGAAAGACATCTACTTCGTAAAAGATGGACCGGAAAAGTATGCCGGTGTTTTGTATGGATTAGAGGCTTTCTAGAAATTAATAAAAATTTGGAGTTGATATAATTAATTCTTTGTAAATTAAGTTGGGCAGTTTACTAAATTAATTGATACATTAATTAGTGCAAGCAACATTATTTTTACTAAATTAATTGATACATTAATTAGTGCATGTAACATTATTATTACCGGAATTGAATTGAATTTTTTGTTCACAAAAAATGATTACTGTTTCAGCTTTGATATCTTGTACGGGGTGTTTGGGAAGAAAAAAAATAGTTTAATTTAGGTTAAAATTCACAAAAAAACAAAATAGGCTAAAATAGTTAATAAGATAAAATATCACATCAAACCCATAATCATTTCAATTTTTCTCTCACAAACATCACATTCAATTACAAAAAAATCCAATCATCTTTTCAAACACAAAAATTTTAACCTACTAAAATAGCCAAAAACTAAAATAGCCTACTAAAATAGTCACTTCCCAAACGAAGCCGTAATCAAACATGGTTTTTTTTGGGAAGTCTGGTACCTTACGACACAATAAAAATGTGTAATTTTATCATAATTTTTTGTAATATTAATCACAAAACAAGTAATTTTATCATAAATTGACGTAATAAAATGTCTAAAATTTTATGATTGATGTTATAAAAATTTGTATCTTAGTTTTAATATTTTTTATTATGTTAATTTATGATGATGTTATATATTTTGTGATGATATTATGAAATTTAGTGAATAAGCTTACAAATTTAGGACGTATAGCGTATTTTGACAATTGGATTAGAAGTTATTTTTTTTGACTTTTTTATTTTTTTAAATTATATTTTAATGTGTTTGGTTTGAAAGTCAAATGCGAATAAGCTTACACAATTTTTTTAGGGATTTTTATTGATAAATCCCATTTAGAAATGTTTTAATTCAAAAAGTTCATGAAGAAATTTATTAACCCATTTAGTCCCATGTATGCATAGTTTTATTCTATAAAATCATTTTTTTTGATTTACACTATTTTTTTAGACTCTTATGCCCTTTTATTTAATTTTGATACCCTTTACAAATATTTTTTCAACGGTTAGCAATTTTATGATGTAAATATTCATATTTTAACATTCACATTGGTAAAAATGTAAAATTGGCCCGTGGCCCGTAGGCGGTCCGAAGATCGCTCCCGGGCCGGGGCAGGCCCGGTCCGTTAACAATGTGAATATTCACATTGACATTTTAACATTCACATTGATAGAAGTGTAAAATTGGTCCGCGGCCCGTGGGCGGTCCGAAACTCGCTCGTGGCCCGTGGGTGCCCGGCCCGACCCGTTGACAATGTAAATATTCATATTAACATATTAACATTCACGTTGATAGGAGTGTAAATTGACCCGCGGCCCGTAGGCGGCCCGAAACCGCCCGCGGGCCCGGTCTGGTCCGTTTACAATGTGAATATTCACATTGACATGTTAACATTCTAAAAACTGAAAGATAACTTTTAACCACCTATTCAAAATAATTCATAATAACTAGAAAACTACTAGGCCATATGAATAGGAGTGTAAAATTGGCCCGTGACCTGTGGGCGGTCCGAAGTTCGCCCCCGAGCTGGAGCAGGCCTAGTCCGTTGACAATGTGAATATTCACATTGACATGTTAACATTCACATTGATAGAAGTGTAAAATTGGTCCGCGGCCCATGGGCGACCCGAAACTCGCCCGCGGCACGTGGGCTGCCCGGGGTGGGCCCGGCCTAGCCCGTTGACAATGTGAATATTCACATTAACATATTAATATTCACGTTGATATGAGTGTGAAATTGACCCGTGGCCCGTAGGCGGCCCGAAACCCGCCCGAGGGCCACCCCGTTTATAATGTGAATATTTATATTGACATGTTAACATTCACATTGATAAGAGTGTAAAATTGACCCGCGGCCTGGCCCGTTTACAATGTGAATATTCACATTGACATGTTAACATTCACATTGATAGGAGTGTAAAATTGGCCCACGGCCCTTGGGCTGCCCGAAGCCCGCCCGTTGCCCGGGGCGGGGCAGGCTTTAAATATTCATATTTTAACATTCACATTGGTAACAATGTAAAATTGGCCCGTGGCTCGTGGGCGGCTCAAAGCTCCCCCCTGGGTCGGGCCGGACCCGGTCTGTTGACAATGTGAATATTCACATTGACATGTTAGCATTCACATTGATAGAAGTGTAAAATTGACCCGCGGCCCGTGGGCGACCCGAAACTCGCCCGCCGCCCATGGGCGGCCCAGGACGGGCCCGGCCCGGCCCGTGGACAATGTGAATATTCATATTAACATATTAACATTCACGTTGATAGGAGTGTAAAATTGACCTGCGGCCCGAAACTCGCCTGCGGGCCCGGCTCAGGCCGGCCCGTTTACAATGTGAATATTCACATTGATAGGAGTGTAAAATTGGCCCGCGGCCTAGAGCGAGTTCGACCTGTTGACAATGTGAATATTCACATTGACATGTTAATATTCACATTGATAGGAGTGTAAAATTGTCCTGCGGCCCGTGGGCCACCCGAAGCCCTCTCGCGGCCCGGGCAAGCTCGTTTGGGCCTAGGCCCGAGCCCAGCCCGAGAACTTGGGCTAAGACCTAGGTCATCACTTTGAAGCTCGGTCCGCATAAGGCCCATTTAAGGCTCGGGCTCGCCAGAGGCCCAGTGTCTTTTTTGTGAAAAATAATAAAATTTTGAGAGAAAAAATTAAAAAGAAGTAAAAAAAAATGGCGAGGCTTACCCAAGCTCGACCCAAGCCCAAGTCTAGGCCCAAGCCCCTTGGCTCGACCCACCGGGGCACCTAAAGCCTGAATACCTTTGTGCCAAGGCTAGGGCCTAGGCCTAATTTTTTGGCCTGTAGGCCGGTCCGGCCCGGCCCGAATTTTGGCAAGCACCCATGAGGCTTTACATGGGTTGGCCCCGGCCCGGGCTGAGCCGAGCCCCTACACATTGATGATATGAACTTTCACATTAGGGGTATTTTGGTAATTATGTCACCCATAAGACTTATTGAAACATAAAAAAATAATGTGAACTAAATGAAACATAAGTAGATAAAAAGGGTATTTTGGTCTTCTTACCTCAAATAGGAACATTCACATTGACGGTGTGAACATTCACATTGATGATGTGAACATTCACATTAGGGGTATTTTGATAATTATGTCACCCATAAGACTTATTGAAACATAAGAAAGTAATGTGGACCAAATGGAACATAAGTAGATAAAAAATGTATTTTGGTCTTCTTACCTCAAATAAGAACATTCACATTGACGGTGTTAATATTCACATTGACAATGTAAACATTCACATTAGGGGTATTTTGGTAATTATGTCACCCATAGGATGTGAACATTCACATTAGGGGTATTTTGATAATTATGTCACCCATAGGACTTATTGAAACATAAGAAAATAATGTGGACTAAATGGAACATATGTAGATGAAAAGAGTATTTTGGTCTTCTTATCTCAAATAGGAACATTCACATTGACGGTGTGAACATTTACAGTGTGAATATTTACATTGACGATGTGAACATTCACATTAGGGGTATTTTAGTAATTATGTCACCCATAGGATGTGAACATTCGCATTAGGGGTATTTTGCTAATTATGTCACCCATAGGACTTATTGAAACATAAGAAAATAATGTGGACTAAATGAAATATAAGTAGATGAAAAGGGTATTTTGGTCTTCTTACCTCAAATAGGAACATTCACATTGACGGTGTGAACATTCACATTGACGACGTGAACATTCACATTAAGGGTATTTTGGTAATTATGTCACCCATAGGACTTATTGAAATATAAGAAAATAATGTGAACTAAATGGAACATAAATAGATGAAAATGGTATTGTGGTCTTCTTACCTCAAATAGGACCTAATGGAATAGTAAAAAAGAATGTAGGTTGGATGGAATAAATCTCTTAGAAAAAGAATTTATAAAAAAAAACTCCCATTTTTTTTAATAAAATTTAAAAAAAAAAAAACTGAAAAATTAGCTTTAATTTTTTTCCCAAAAGAAGCCTATGTATATGGTATGAACCTCATTTTTTTTGTTTTTGTTCCAATCAGTTGTTAACTAGATTACTATTATTTATTTATTTATTTGTTAAATAAAAATAAAAAAATGAATCAGTTTAAATGTTAATAGAAAAGGTTTAATAAAACAAAATAAAACTACGGGCAAATTAGATTTTATAGTTAATAGTTTGTGTATTGTGCATTTTGATTTTTTTAATGTCAATTAATTTAATTTTAATTATAAATTTGTAATTTCGTCGCAATCTAATTCACTCGATAAGGACAATTAATTTTTTACACAAAAATTATGCATATACCTGCACATGAAATGTTTTAGAGGGTATAATAGGCATATGCACCATGCACAGATATGTACTGAAAGCAATGAAAACGATAGTTCGAGTTCGAATCCTCTGTCGTTCTTTCCTCCGGCGTCCCCTACCATGGTTCAAAACGACGTTGTTTTGGTTAAATTTTTTGTTTTGTTTTGTTTTCTTTTGTCCTCCCCTTTTCCTTTCTATCTCATTTGCTTGAACCCTTACCCATTGACAGAGGTAGAGGTGAAACAAAGTAGTAGGTGCAAGCAATGACTGCAACGCGAGGCGGCGAGTGGGCTACAACTGAGGCGACGAGTCAGCTACGACTGAGTACATCCATTTGGGTCCTCTGCTTCGTCTTCTTCGCTGAATTTTGCATCTTCTGTTTTGGGGTTTCTTCGAAAGCGAAGATCAGAAATGGGTTTTTGGTTTGCACTTCCAAGTGCTCGGACAGTCGGCCTCTCATCGGTGTATTGTTCGAGCCATTTGAAGAGGTGAAGGAGCTCACACTCGTCCCTACTTTCCCCCCACTCTTCCATTGCTCGCCAGAAATATTCTGATGAATGTGAAGATCAAAAATGGATTTCTAGGTTTTTGGTTTACTTTTTTAATTTTTTTTATAATTTTGATTGATATTCATTAGAAATAGTCTGATGAATGCGTAGATCGGAAATGGATTTTTAGTTTTCTTTTCTTTTGTTTTTCAGTGATATTCATCATAAAATATGCTTATCTATTTGATTATCTGTTGTTTATCATGTTTATC